CCCTTCCTCCCACCTTCTAACCTCTTCTGTGCCTCCACTGGCTGAACCCAACTAGAAACCAGCTGGTCAGAGGAGTGGGATGAAAGGGAAGGGACGGAGGTCCCCGTAGATCATACGTGGGATAGAAACACGTAAGATGAAGATCATTCGCCTAGATCTAAGGGTCAGAGAGGCCTAGGTTTGTGTCCTTATTCCGTGACCTTGAGCAAGTCACCTCCCTTTTGTAAGCTTTAGTTTACTCGTCTGTGAAATAGGAGTGATAATGCCGTCTCAGAGTTGTTGTGAAGGCTCAAAAGAAAATGATCATAAAGAGCTTAGCACAGTAGTTTAGAAGGGGCTCAGTTCCTGAACATACCCTCTCACTTCAGGGCTTTTGTACTCTGTACTTCCTCTTACCTCTGCCTGGAATGTTTTTTCCTATATATATTTTTTAATGCTATTATTTTCTGACTCATCTTCCTAGTCCAAATAGGACATTTTTAGTTGCAAGAGACCAAAAATTAGACCCAAAAGAGGCTTAATCAAAAGCAGAAGTTGTCAAAGCTGAGAAGTCCAAGTATAGTTCTGACTTCAGGTATGGCTTGATCAGAGGCTCAGCCAATAACATCAACATTCATTAACTCTGGATTGGCTCATGTGCCCACCACTAAATCAATTTCTGGGGCCAGGGATACCGGACACACTAAACATTCCACTCAAATAATTTGAGCTGATCCTAGGGGTGGTTGTGGTGTCCCAGAGGAAAATTAGATATAGTTATAAGAAAGGATGTATGAGTGCCTGAAGTGAGCATGAAAAACAGCTCTCCACTCATGTTTGAGCTTGGAGGACTTCCTGGGGCTCACTCTCCTCTGTCCAAGGTTAAGTCATTTCCTACTGTGATACACACTCAGCTCCTTATACGTCACAGCCCTCATCAGCTTATAATTACACTCTCATGAAGTTGAATGATGTCTGCCTCTCACCCTGGATTATGAGCTTGGAGAAGGCAGAGGCTATTTTGTCATCATCATATCCTCAGTGTCCCGCCCAGTGGGACACATGCTAGATACCCAGTAGAGTCTGTACATGACGGGGTGAACCTGGGACTCTGGTTATGATGAGGCCCTACCTGTTACCTTGACTTTTGCTAGCTGCACTGCCTCTTAAGCCAGAGTCTTCCCCTCCGAAATCTCTCCCCTGTGAGCAGCCCGGGGGACACTTGCACAGGACACACTTCCCCAGAGAAGAGAATGACAATTTTCCCATGGGACCTGGGAGGCCTGAGACCCAGAACTCTGGGTGGGTGATTCAGATCAGCAGAAGCAACTTGATGAATCAGGAGAGGAGCCAGCGGAAAAAGGAGGGTTACTTTGGATTAAGAGCTTTAAGAGGAGTGATTCATGATCATTGCGGCTGACATTTAAAAAGCCCCAAATACTTTTGGTAAATAGTGTGCCGCTTTGCATTTTGCCTCCCATTTATCCTGGGAATGAAGCAGTTGCTCTGGGATATATCATATTTCACTTTCTGCTTCTCAAGCATCAGTGATGTTTGGCTCCTCAGTTTCTCGTGTGTAACTTATCACCAAAGCCTACTTTCATGGAAGCGCTGGCCTGGTAGAGTCAGACTGGGCTCTGGTGTCAGATGGGGCATGGTCTGCAGCCCGGTTCTGCCATCTGCTCTCTGTGTGACCTAGGACAAATTACTTGACCTCCCTGAGCCTCCATTCTCTCTCCAATAAAGTAAGGATAATAACATCAGCCTCGCAGGGCTTTGGGGAGATTTAGATGGGGATGTCTTTGGTAGTGCGAGCTTCAGGTTTAGCCAAAGCTGTGGTGGGTTGGCGGAAGGGCTGGGAAGGTGCATGTGTGTCATGTGAGGGAGGATATGGGGAAGCCACAGGGCTCTGGGATCTCACTGCTCTACCCAGGGCTGGGTGCGAGTCTAGGTCCCCAACGAGAAAGTCTGTGGACAGAATTCAGAAGGGCTCTTTGCCCAGATATGAACTCTGCAAGACACAGGGCAGTGTGGCTTCAGGGCCTAGGAGACAATGTGAGACAGTGGAGACACTGTGTGTGTGTGTGTGTGTGTGTGTGTGTGTGTGAAGGAAGTGTAGGGTGACCAACCAGCCTGGTTGGTCTGGGACAGAGGGTTTCCCAGGATACAGGACTTTCTCTGTTAAAACCAGGAGAGTCTTAGGCAAAGTGAGACATGGTGGGTGACCCTGGAAGTAGGCCTTTCCCCCAACTTGTGCTGGAGCCCAGCAGGGCATGAGCATCCTGACGCCAGGGCCCCAGCTTTCATGGCACCAGGAGTCAGTGCGAGGGGCCCAGCCATTAACATGGTCACGGGTGCCAGGGACAGAGAAAATGGGGGGTGAGCACACCACCTCACCTCAGACCCACCCTCAGACACTCCCAGAAGTCACTAGGTGACGTGTTGCAGGAAGCTGGAGGCCTGCATTAGTAGAGGGGGAAAGAGCCACAAAATGTGGGTTATGACTACCACGGTGGTCCAATGAGGCCTGGGGAAACTTGGGTTCCATGTAAAGGCCAGCCCAGAACCTGGCACTTCGTGTGATTTTTGTCATCGTATTTTCTAATTGCTCATTGACAGTCCAGAGTACTACTTTTTAACTTTGAATCTGGTCACTTTAGAGAAATCTTTCATCTTAATAACTCTGGAGTTGATTTCTAAGTATCTGGGATACAAAGCTATATCACCTGCCCTTAATGATACATTTGTCTCCAGTTCCAACATCTGTGCTCTGATTTCTAAATCATGTCCCACAGCACTTCTCAGACCATCTAGACAACATTGGATGACAGCAGCGATGGTTGTTGCCCATTGTTTTATTTCTGTATCCACTAATTATGCTCTAGTCAAGTGCTTCGTGGTCTTGGGACACTCTTTGAAGTAGACCTGCTGAGTCCCAGTCCTGGGAAGTGTTCTAGTGCTTCACTATTAAACATCTTGAAAGCCCTTAGCTGGAAAGAAATACACTTCATTGTATTAAAGAAGCATCCTTCTGTTTTTAAGAGCCTTTACGAAGGATGGACATTGGGTTTTCATTAGACCTGCATCAGCCCTGCTTCTGAAAAACCTCAGTGTCTTTGTCTGTAAAATGGGGGCGGGGCAGGGGAGTGGGAGGGGAAACAGTAACCACTTCATGGGGCTGTTACGAGGAATAAGTGAGCTTACACCCATGAAGGGCTTAGTGGAGGGCCTAATATAGTCAAGCTGGCAGGTGTCATCGCTGACACAGGTCCCATCTCGGGGCCGTCCTAACAGACTGCTCTCCTCCTCCAGGCCAGGAGACCCTGTGTGGCTCCCCTACTCCTGCCCTCAAGGAAGGACAGCCAACAGTGATCCAGGCCCCCAGAAGTCACATGCTCTTTTCAGGTGGAATTTGGCCGAGAGCCACAGGCTGGACGTATGGGAGGCGGGGTGGGTTGGGATGAGCCCCAGGGTAAGAACAAGAGCTGGAGGACCTTGGAGGGCCTGGCTCTGTCCCATCCAGCTGTGTGACCTCAGCGTGTCGCTTGACTCCCTGTGGCTGCTTCCTGAGGAGATCTGAGGCCGGTCCCACTCACCAGGGCGGTAGAGTGAGGCCCGGGAATGAGCCAGGAGAGGGGCGCTGGGTCCGGGGCAGATGGAGGAAGGACTGTGGTTACTAAATAACAACATGACAGGCAGGACAGCAGACCCTGTGAATTTCTCCCAAATTCCTGCCCCCAACCCCTGACCCTGCTCTCCTCTGCACACACCTGAGTGCGCTTTTCAAAGGAGGTAGGCAGAGCCAGCTCCAGAATTTGTGGGGCCCAGTGCAAAATGAAAATATGCCTTGTTCAGCACTTACTAAGAATTTCAAGATGGTCACAGCCAAGCATTAAACCAAGAGTGGGGCCTTTCTAAGCAAGGGCCCTTCTGTGACGGGGCCCTGGGAGTAGGGATACTCCAAATCAGGGACTTGGGACAAGGAACTCCCCTAAGGTGGAAACCAACAGTGTAGTCGTGGGGCTATGAGGTGGAGACTGGGGCTCCTGAAGGCCATGGTTTCAGCATCACAGCAAACCTTGTCTGGAGAGTCAAAGTGTCAGGATGGCAAGACAGTCCGAGTGAGCTCTCGTCCATCTGGGTCCCTGATGCCAAGCCCCGCTTCCCTCTCCTGTATTCTGGGGAAATGAAGCAATAAGTACCCACCCTGGCTAAACTAGTGGAGTGGGGCTTCTGACATTTAAAACCAAATATAGCACTGGTAAGAATTGGGGCCTTTCTCCAGTAGAGCAATGCAGGCGCACACCTGAATTCTGGAGTAAGAGCACAGTACCCAGGGGGCCTTCCCTCCACCGTTCTCCCCTATAGGAAGTGCAGCTCCCTCCTTACAGTTCTGGCCTAGGGGTGGGCCACTCAGTCCCTCCCTTATCTGAGAAAGCCTGGAACATTCAAACACTTGACTAAAGGCTTGGGAGTACCAAGAGAAATCAAGATAAGAAGGCGTGGAGAGGATGATCAACAGAGGCCTTGCATCTGGGGGTGGCTGGATCCTCCTTATCCAGGAGCAGAGGGGTGTCCAAAGAGTTCCCCTTCTCAGTCCCTCAGCCTCAGCTGGGCTCTGTTTTCATTTCCTCTCATCCCTTCTGGAGCTGGGCTGAGCGAGTGGGTACATACCTTTCCACCAAGCAACTCAACTTTTTAGAGTCCATCTTACAGAAAAAGATACATTCAAGGATGTTCGCTGCAGTCCTGTTTGTGATATTCTAATAGCTGTGAGTGAATGAGTGTGTGTGTGTATGTGTGTGTGTGTGTGTGTGTGTGTGTGTAATATATTTAACATAGAAACAGATCTGGAAGCATATGGTCCAAACTGTTAACAATAGTTACCTCTACGGAAGGAAGGGAGTGGGGAAGGAAGAGAGACTTTCCTTTGCCTCTGCACACTTTATACACTTCTGCTTAGTTTGATTTTTAAAAAATTATTTTCTCCAGCACATATTCATGTGTAAATTATAGAATGTTTAATTGAAAAACAATTTTTAAAAAATCACGTTGTGCAAAATTTTGAAAGTTAGAGAAATGAACCTGGTAAAGTGTGATGCTGCAGATTTGTCAGAGTATTGATCCTCATAGTGATTTCATTTCCTCCAGCAGTTTTCAGCAGTCTCGGGGCAGGCATGGAGAAGAGTGGTGTTGAAAGCACCCAGGAGAATGTAGTGAGCTCAGATGCAGGCACCCAGTAATTATTCTAGGCATTTGACATCACTTAGCCTGTTTAATCCCTGTGAGGTAGATATCTTTAATCCTAGATTTCAGTGGAGGAAAGCAGCTTGGAGAGGGGACATATGGCAGGGCTGGGATTCAGACCTCAGGGTGCAAGAACTCTCCCACTTGTGGCTGCTGCTAGCGCAGTTCAGTGGGGAAGGCAGGGAGAGGAGTAGAAAGCCAAGCCAACAGCAGTCTTTGAATGCTAGCCCCCAGGTGGAGGAGGGAGTAAAGGCAGGAGGGAGCATCGACTGTATCAAGGATCAGCTTAGGTGTAAGAGGTGTGGAAACAGAGTCGGTTTGGGTTTTAGATGAATAAAGCTGTGTGGGGCCCAGCATCTTCTTGTCTCTAATGAACTGGAGAGGGGGTTTATGAGGACTGAGGAGTCTCCTGGAAATGGCCCGTGTTAGTGTGGGACTGGGCCCAAGCTGGCGTCTGTTCCTTGGCTGACTCCTTTCCAGCCCCACTGACCTCATGCCAGAGTCCTAGGAGTAAGAACTGAAGTCGACATTTAACTACAACCCTGAGCCCAGTGGGGGTCAGGCAGCTCTGCTTGGGGGTCCCTGCACCCAGGGGAATGGATTGGGGGTGGTAGGGGAGTGAGTTCTACTGCATGTCACAGAACTTCAAGGTGCCCATATGGCTCAGGGGGTGCCCCTCCTGCAACAGGAGTGGGATTGTTCATGAGCTCCCAACACACCTCCACATGATTGGGTTCTTCTTGGGACTCAGGAGTCCTGGGTGAGCCAGTGGGTAGCACGCCAGTGAGGTTTGGGTTACTTCTGTCATTGTGACCCCTGTCACTGAGGTCTGGGGAAACAGAGTAGAGAAGCGTTCAGGGACCTCAAGTTGCAGGTTATGATCAGGAAAGGAGGGTGGGGTGGAACTGATGTTAGGTAGTTGAAGCTGAGATGGGGGAGGGGCTGCAACTTCCTGGGGTGTCCCAAGCTGAGCTCCAGAGTACAGACAAAAGCAAGTTGAGGGAGTTGCTCTTTGTGACCTCAGAAGCAGGCAGAGGACATCTACCTTTCCTATCTGCTTTTGCTGTGTTCTTAGACTTAGGTCTCTAAGTCTAGGGTCCCCAAATTGCAGAGCTGGAAATCAGTCAACGCTGCAATCCAGCAGTTCTCTGGGAACAGAGAAGTAAGGCACCAGCTCAGGATGACACTGGGCAGTGCCATGAAGCCAGCGAGGCGCGGGGGAGGGGGTGGAGGGCGGCGGCGGGGGGCGGGATCAGGATCCTCACTCCTAATTAGAGCAGGGCTCAAGGATTTCCAAGGAGAAGCCAGGACACCGAGGTCCCGACTGCGAAGGGGGGGTGGTGGTGCCAAGAGGGCAGCCTGGAGCCCCAGAAGAAGGCAAGGTCACTGCTGGGGAGTCATCAAGGCCGACTTCTCAGTGAGCGGAGAGGGGAGGACAGAGCGCGTGAGATAGACTTCAAGCACTCCGATGGTTCAAAGTATTTTCTTCATGAATTACTCTTCATCTAGAAGGGTCCAGATTCTGCCTGGAAAAATTACCTTCTAAAACCTGTAGAACAAATGCAGAAAACACTAAAATTTAGATAGAATAACGGGTGATAGTAAAAAATCTTTCAAGACATCGTCATTGAACTGTTGGTACTTTTATAAGGCAGCGGGGCATAAATATGATTATTGTTAAATGTGCTTAAACTTGATCATGTAAATCACGTGCCAGTGGTTTGGGCCAGGTCGGCTAGTAAAGAGGGCTAATAGCACAAAGCTGCTCTAGGGTTACCCAGGCTTTCTGCTCCGCCGCCCTCGGGAAACCGCCCGGTGCGCACCCGGGGTACACATCGCGGCTCAAGGGGCGCTGGGGCTGTGGATCTTAGGTTCCTCGGTGCCTTGAAGCCCGAGTCGCCGCAGGGAACCCGGAGCCTGAGCCTGTGCGGCAGTTCCAGCGCCAGAGTAGGGACTCCAGCCCGGAGCGTGCCTCCGGGTCTTTATAGTAGCCGGGCCCGAGTGGGGAGCGGCGGCATCTAAGGGTCGCTCCAGGGCCGCGCTAGGAAAGGTGTGGACGGCGGGAGAGGAAAAGGACCCGCCGCACCGGTGTCTCGGCGGACAGGGAGCCGCAGGGAGGGCAGGAGTGCGGGCGGGTCCGAGGTGGGCCGCTCCAGGGTACGTGATGGACACCCAGGGGCGCCACCCTCCAGCTGACGAGGGGAGGAGATCCAGGTACAGAGAGGCTAAGTGATTCGTCCAAGGTCACACAGCGGGCTGGTGGCGGTGTGTGTGTGTGTGTGGGGGGGGTGCAGTTCTGACAGCACGTCTGGGGGTAATCACAGGCCTCGCCCTGCACGGCAGACGCCTGGTTCTGCCCCCGCAAGCAAGCAGCCTTTGGGGTCTTGGGAGCCCCGTCCTTTGGTCAAGATGAGAGTAGGACGGCGCCCCCAACCTGTTACGAAATGTAGCTTTTCAGTATCCCAGCATCGCAGCCTCCCAGTCGCCTGTGCAGGCGGGCGTGGTGCTCCGGGTCTTGGCGCACGAGGGAGCGCACAGGACTGTGACCCCGGACAATAACGCCCAGCCTCCACCTGCCTGGGGCCCAGAGTGTGGGCGCCTCATTTCCCTGTCACCACCGCCCCAAACGAAGGCCCTTCCACCGGCCTCTTTAATAAATGAGAGAGCTCCAAGGCTTAGAGATAGGGAGCTGACCGAAGTAATGCAGCTGCTAAGTTATGGAGTCAGGATTCGAACCCAGTGGTCTGTATTTTGGTAGCCCAAACCCCGAGGTCAGAGCCCACCGGCCCAGAGTGGCTGTGTGTGGCCTTGGGTAAGTCGCTTTTCTCAGGCAGGCAGCCGGGCCAAGAGCCCCTCCCGTCGTGGCCGCGCATGCTCAGTAGCTGGCGGCGCCGGGAGGAGGCGGCGGGCGCCCCAGCTGCTTTGCATTGACGCCAGCACCCGCTGGAGGTCACCGCTGGGGGCTGGGCGCGGCGTGCTGCCGGCAAG